ATATTTAAGTATATTCTCCTCATCTTTTCATGGCCCTTTAATTCATGGTTACTTATATTTTATATCAATAAATCTAAACTCTATAGTAAAAAGCAGAGGGTTCATTAATTTTAACAAAAATATTATTCCAAACCATTTATTATACCCACTATATGCCACTCATTATTCCAGAGGATGAGGATACCATTAGTTAAAAGATCATTTTCATGACAGAAGAGAATGTGTTTTTCTATATCCTTAAAAGAGGGGAAAAATCTGCCAATCAAACAATTTCAAGAATATGGACATTTAAGGCTTTCCTTAAAAGAAAACCCTGCCAACATAAATTTAATCCTCATGAAGAGTTCAGTTAATACAGTGTGTTGATATCTTCTGGCTGCTATTTACTGGAATATGGAAAAATTTACTTGCTACACAACCTCCTTTTCAGGGTCCTACAATAAAACAGTCTTCATCCTTGAACATGTGCTAAGCACTAATAATAGCACTAATAACATCATGAAATAAAAGCTTTTAAATAAATTTTCCCTTAATAGCAGAGATCAATTTAAACATTGTAACTTCCAGGAAAAGATTATTTGGGATCTTAGACATCCTTTCTCAGAATATTGGATATAACAAAAAAAATAGCTCCTAATGGGGAAGAAATAATGCAGGAGTGTAGCTGACTTAGACATGAATATTGTTAAAACAGGTAAATCAGCTCCTTAGAGATGACCAACCTTGAAAATTTGGTGTGCCAAAATTTATCCTTGGTTTTGAGCTTTGTTTTGCTTTACTGGCTTGCAAATTTGTGTCCCACAGTGACCCTAGACTAGCCTGCCTCCTGCCAGCATGATGTTAGGAAAGGTATTGAAATTCACAAGGATCTTACCCTTGGCTTCCACTTCCCTGGCTCAGCATTCTCACTCATTTTAAGGTGTTGCCAGCTCAGCATAGCCTTGTATTCAAGGAAGACCTCCCAGCCAGGCCGCCCACAGATACACTTGTGCTTATCACCTGTCCCAGCAATTGCAAATAGACTAGCACTTGTCAGAGGAACCTGTTTATCCTCCCTATGTGGGAGAGAGCCCTGTAAATTATTACATTTCAAAAGGTGTAAAATATTGGACTTCTCTGCTTGAACTATGTGCATTTAGGTTGTAGAAAGCTCTCTAAATAATAGAGCTGCCCTGACTTCACTTCTCTCAAAACTACCTTCAAACATTTTTAAAGTGATATGCCTTTGATGGCTTTCTGAGCCAAATGCTGGGATACATGACATTTTATAAATAATTTTAAATAGTCTCAAGGATTCAGAAAAGCCTCAAATAACAAAGTGTGAACACGGATCTTAAAAAAATCAGAGGGCTTTAAAGAAGAGAAAAGCAGACCAAAAATAATAAAAAGAGAACCCAATTCATTCCCAAAATGCCAGAAGAGAATTTTTAGAATTACAGTAAAGCAATCACTTCCTTAGTTTGTACAACAAAACACAAACTTTGTGGGACAAGATAAGACTTGGTCAAGATTGTCAAATGTATCAATATAGATGTGAAAACTAACTTCATAATAAATGAGTAGGGGTAAAGTCGTCCGAGAGGAATATCCAAACCATTGAATTGGATATCTTCCGATCAAATTCACTGGACATACCATTCTCAGGCCACTAAGACAGTTGAATCACATAAGCACAAAACACGGGCAAAGGACCAATTTCGCGAAGGCGACAGTCTCCCTTCCTACATTCACTTTAGATCTGTCGTCCTGGACTTTCATTCTCAAGAGCATTTTGTTTCTAGGACAGTCCTCCCCCCATCACTACCACCTTATCCATCAGTCTAATTATCTCGTTATTCAAATCTTTCAAAAAGAAAGAGAGTAACTGCAGGTTACTTTCTCTACTCGCGGGCATCTTTTTTTTTCTAATCTCAGTAAGCCTTCAACTAACTTTCCCTGAAAAGGATGTCACCGAAGGGCAATGAAGCTTAAAATCCCGCCATTCTCTCTATTTCTCTCTCTCTCTTCTTTCTGCCTACGCCACCCAAAACTCCTTACTCCGCCCCCCACCTCCAATCCGCGATTTTTTTTAAGCATGCTGGAGGCTGGGGTCTTTAAGAGAACTTCCTCTGTTTCTCCCTCTAACTCAAGACTAGAGGGACAGAAGAAGGACAAGGCACCTAAGGGGACAGGCAAATGAGTTATTTGAGGGGAATAAAAGATCTAATGGAAAAGTCGCCCTAATTCTGTGTTAAGTATTTTAAAAATAAATGAGTGTACCCTTTCCATAGAGTTCAAAATGTTGCCTTTTGCTCTAAGCATTCTTCTTTACCAGATACAATGCCTACTATATACTGTTCTAAACATTTTAAAAATATGACCTTCTTTGCTTTTATTTATACACACACACACACACACACACACACACACACACACTAAATTCGTGTGTGCTTTCGTCCCTGCTGTGTTTTTCTTTATGACACGGTACAGCGGGTAAGTCTTCAAAGACAAATATGGAAAAACTTTAACCAGTTGCTACTTTATTGCAAGCAAACCATTTCCTTCTGCAATTTTTCGCAATCATTATAATTAAATACACTAGTTGAGGGGGGGACTTAGGTTTTTTTTTCCCAATTATGATTTTAGGGTTTCCCTCAGGCGTTTGGAAGCGCCCGCTAATTTGCTCGCGTGGCAAACGTTAATTGCACTTGTAGGCATTCTGAAAAACGTGCAGCCCTCACCCAGAGTTGTGAAGGCTGAGCTCGCGAAGACCAGCCGCCAAATGTTCACCTGTGGCTGGGGCGCACTGACCACTCGCGTGCTCAGTCTGGGGAGCTGGGGCCGGGAACCTGTGTGCACTGGGCTCACCCTCAAAAGGACTGCGGGGACCTGGAGCGGGGGTGGCGTCGGGGTGCTGGCCTACTCTGTAGGGAGCAACCGCTCTCAAGCAGCCTGCGCTACCGCGGACAGAGGCCCGAAGTCCCACGCAGGCCGGGCGCACGCTTGAGGTTGGTAGCGGAGATGGAGAGTGACGGCCACCCGGGGACCCGGGGCCAGGCACTGACCCGGGTCTAGCCCTACCAGGCCCCACCCGCTCCACGCCGATTGTGTGATTAGCCGGGGTTACGTTTCAGAAGGCAGAATGGGACGTTTCGGATTTCTGTTCACACGGTTATTGAAGGCACCGCTGCAGGGACCGCACAAAAGAAACCGAGGCAAGTAGGGAAGGAGTTTTATGTTTTAATCGGAGTTTAACACCCACACTTCGGGTCCTCTGCGTTGATCCTGCTCCTTCCTGCACTCCCTGAGAGCAATTCTTGCCCGGGTTGAGTCTTTTCCTGTCCACATCTTTTCCTCTACTCCTTCCCGACCCTACAGGTCTTGTGTTAGGAGAGAATGGACTGTTAAAAAGATGCCCTAGGCGGAGCCCCCAAAAAATACAAATCCGTAAGTGGTGCAGGCACGTGGTGAGTGCAAAATGCCCTTTCTCAAACGCTTTTTTTTTTTTTTAAACCACCAAGCACAGAACTGTCCCGACGCTAAGCGTGGAGTCTTGGGCTGGACCCCAAACCACACGCCGCCCTCCACCTGGTACCTAAGCGCCACCGAGGGTGAGCGGACCCCGGTGTCCCAAGTTCGGTCTCTCACTTCCTGCCCTCGCGGAGATACTTCGGCGTAGCCGGTCCAAAAATTCCACTAAAGGCAGAAATAGTAGTTTAAAAACATAATTTGAAAGAAGAGGTGGAGTCCTAAACAACCCACGTTGCCCGTGCACCAAGAACTATTGGACATGAACCGGGAATTTAGAAAAGAAATTGAATTTCCAAGCACGAATCTTCACTTCTTGAATCTAATTAATTCGGCGGCTGCGATTGCACACGCCAGGGAGATTGAGGAAGAAGTTATGCACTTATTTGGATTACCCAAGCCCAAGAAACTCGAATTGGAAATCCTAAAGTGTGTCCTGAGATCCCCTCTTCATTACTCGAGTCCTTCCAACCATCTGAGTAGACAAAACTCCAGCCCACGGCTGGAGGTCTGCTAAACAGTCCTTGTGGCCGAAGACAACATGGAAATTACTGAGGGATAGCAAATGGGACCTCAGTCGGGCCCTCTCGAACCCTCCGACTGCCAGCGGTTAAGTACCTGCTCGGGGAAACTTGCGTCTTTATCTGTCCACAGCTCAGAGGCCGCGGAAGTTGCCTCAGGAGTTGTCAGAGAGAAAAGCAACATTGATTTAAGGTTTTCAAAAACCCCACAGGGCAAATGTGACCGCTGGGGTCAGCCAGTCAGCAGTTTTGGTCCAGACCAGGGACAGCCGAGCGGGGCGGTTCGGTTAAGTCACGGCGCCTCCCGACGTCACACACGCTTGTTCACACTCAGCCACGCGCTCGGGGTTATTCTTTAAACACAGAACTAAGACTCCCTGGGCGAGACCGCCGGGAGCTGAGGAGGGCCGAAACCCCAGATCCAGAGCCCGCCCCTCGCCGGCTCGCCTCCGCCTCCGCCGCGCTGGCGTCTGAGACCGCGCGCTCACTAGCTGGAATTAAGCAGCCCGCGCTTACGCTCTCCGCGGTCTCTCCCAGCCCGCGCGCAGCTCAGGGTCCCAGGTGCGCGGCGGCCGCATTCCCACGCCTTTGCCAGAGCATTGAGGCGGGCATTGGCGAACGCGGCCACGCCCTCCTACCCCAGCCAATAGCGGGCCACGCCGGCCCCCGAGGAGGCGGTGCCCGGCAGGCGGAGGGGTGGGCAAGCCTGGGGTGGGAGAGGTGACCCCGCCCGCGCGGG